GCTAAGCGAGGCCAAGCTAAGCGAGGTCCAAGTCAAGTTAAACGAGGTCAAGCCTTGCTCGGTTGGACAACGGTTGGATCCGGTGGGACACAAGGCTACTGGTTTGACCAAGAACTCCTACTGGTTGGGCCAGGCCGCTAGCTTGCTTTGAAGCAATCTTCGTCTATGAATCCCACGAAAAAGCAAAACGATTGATGTTTCTTATGTTTTCTGTGCACTTAGTACCCTCGAAATTTCTTGTTTTCTTGTTTTCTCGTTTTCTCGTTTCCTTGTTCTCTTGTTTTCTTGTTCTCTTGTTTTCTGAGCTCTTCTTTCCCCCTTTTCACTTATGATTGTTTTCTCTCTTCAAATCCATCTCTAAATATTGCTTTTTCTGAAGCTTTTACACCCATTCCAGCCATTTACAGCCAATCAATGCATTGCTGAAATGTTTGGATAAAAGGATTTGATAGATTTGATAGATCTGATAGATCTGATAGATCTGATAGATATAGCTACATTAGACATTAGATATTAGACAATGTAGCTACATTAGATATTAGACATTAGACATTAGACATTAGATATTAGATATTAGACAGTACTGGTTGTACTATATATTATTAATTCTTCAATAAACTTATAATTTAGTTATTCAAGCTATAAAGTGTATAGTAGATAGGCCTTTGAAAGGTTTTCCAATATTTTTGAAATCTAAATAGCTTATACCGCTTAGGTATATTAGGTTGTTTGGATATAAACGAGCGTTTACACTACGTGGGGAAGCCACTAACTCTTGAGGAAGCTGCTAACTCTTGAGGAAGCTGCTAACTCTTGAGGAAGCCGCTAACTCTTGAGGAAGCTGCTAACTCTTGAGGAAGCCACTAACTCTTGAGGAAGCCATTTCCCCGCATCTGATCATTTCCAATGGCTTGAAGATGCTAGAATTTGCTAGAACTAGAATCAATAATAGAATCAATAGTAGAATTAGTCGTAGAATTTGAACATCGAAACTTTTGAGCAAGTTCACGCGTCGTTTGGCATTGATCCGATTGTAGCCCTCAAAGTATCGTTGTCTATCGCTTGAAGTATCGTTGTCTACCGCTTGACGAGAGTGTTCGACCTGAGTGCTCGACAAGAGAGTCATCACAATTCCTCGAGACTTTCATCACCATTCCGAAAGCGTTGGAACCAGGCTCGGCATTGGCTTTTGGGCATCGGCTTTCGAAACATTATTCCCAAATGCTTTGTCCAAATCTCGATGAGATTCCGCGACTGTTTTGCCCAGGTTAACCTTTGAATCTTTTTTTATGTAAATGAAGGTGATGTACGATGAATTTGCTGAAAGCAAGACTCATAAAGATGCTTTGTCGTGAAAATGAGAGAAAGCTGAAGGCTAGTGATGATATTTGCATAGAGCATGCCTCTTCTTTCCCTTTTCTCCTTTCCTTTTTCCCTTCTCAACCATTTCAACACAATTCCATCCATTCTTTGCTCTATTAGAAGCTATTTTAGTAAAGTAAAGTAAAGCAAAGTAAAGTAAAGTTATCGAATTTGGAGGAGGTTTTAGAGGTTTTAGATTGAATTTGGCATTCTTGAGATCGAATTTTAATGATTTACAAGAGCTGGAAGATCTAGAAGAGCTAGAAGAGCTAGAAGAGCTAGAAGAGCTAGAAGATCTACAAGAGCTAGAAGAGCTAGAAGAGCTAGAAGATCTACAAGAGCTAGAAGATCTAGAAGAGCTAGAAGATCTACAAGAGCTACAAGATCTACAAGATCTACAAGAGCTACAAGAGCTACAAGAGCTACAAGATCTTCAAGAGCTACAAGATCCCCAAGAGCTACAATCTCTCCAATCTCTCCAATCTCTCCAATCTCTCCAATCTCTCCAATCTCTACAAACTCAATAGGAACACAAGATAGTGATAGAACTGAATGTAGAAATGACTGTAGAATTGTTTCGAAGCCAATTTTTCTTGTTTCAAAGCTTAGCTAGACTTAAAATGATCTTTTCTCGGGCCTATTTTATGGAGATAAAGGCTGAAAATGGCTAAAATGGGACCACTTGATGGGCATTTTGGGGATTTCGAAGAAAGTGAAAGGAAAAGAGACAAAAAGAGACAAAAAAAGCGACAAAAAGACACCGATTTCTCAATCTAAATCTCAAGAATGAAAAAATGGTGACAAAATGGCGACAAATATTGGGATTTTTTCTTTATTCTAGTACACTAGATTGTATGCGTTTACAGAAGCACAAAGTACCCGCAAAAACCCTTTCAAAACCGCTTTCAAAAACCCTTCCCCAATCCAGTTGTACCCCTTCATTTGTAATCTCTCCAGAAAACTTGCCATAATAGAGTTTCTAGTGAAAGTTTTTCAAAGCAATGCACGATCTGGATGTCACACAGTACGATAAGCACCAATTTATGGTACCCTAGCATCAATTTGGTCAATCGTTTTCCTGTCAGTTCGTCTCCCCTCCAGAAAACTTGCCATAATAGAGTTTCTAGTGAAAGTTTTTCAAAGCAATGCACGATCTGGATGTCACACAGTACGATAAGCACCAATTTACGGTACCCTAGCATCTTTTGTCGGATACCGTCCCATAGCTTTAGCCTTCCAGAGGTGTACTTTGTGCTTTCGCGGAAACGTTTGCCTTCTGGCACAAAGCAATGCACGATCTGGATGTCACAGAGTACGATAACGCTCAATTTACGGTATGCTAGCTTCTTTTTTTGGGTATGGTACCATAGCTTTAACCTTCCAGAGGTGTACTTTGTACTTTCGCGTAAACGTTTGCCTTCTAGAACAAAGCAATGCACGATCTGGATGTCACAGAGTATGATAAGCATGGTGCCCGATATTTGTTTCCCAAAAAATCTAGACCCGAGAAAATCTAGACCCGATTTTCGTCTCTTCGCTAAAATCTTTGTTTCCAAAGCTTCGGCTCAGGCTCAGGCTTAGGCTTAGGTTGGGGATTTGCGGAACGGGAGAACCGTGCACTCACTGGCGAAGCTGCTATGCAAGTACAAGCTGCCGTGCCTGGCGAAGCTGCTATGCAAGTACAATGTGAGTTTAGAGTACTTTAACGTAGCTACAGTTGATTCTGAGCCGAAGCCTAAGCCTGAAAAAAAACTTTCAAATAAATAAATAGAATTAGGCTTTGTGCTTTGTACTTAAAATTATCTAAATTCAAAGAATCGTTTTACTAAACCTACAATCTTTTTCGTTTCCTTTTACTCCAAAACCTTTCACCCATTTCCCATTTCCCTAAGGGATCAAAAGCAAGCAGAAATGATGAGATGTCTCTTTTCTTTTTCTTTTCTTTTACCCTCAATAAACACCAAAGAATCCAAAGAATATAGTGCTAAAGAAAAGGATTTTGGATAAGTAAGTCACTGACATTTTCAGTCCCCTGGAGACTTCCGATAATTGACGTCTTTGTCTATTATCTAAAACAAGCATCTAGAAAACAGTAATCACATGTTTCTATGGAAAACTGCGGAAAACTAACCACTCCATCGAATTCCCCATCCCGAAAAACCCCAGTTTCCAAATTTTCAGCAAAATTCCTTCAATTTTGACGATTCTAGAGAGTTTTCTGATTGTGTGCCAGAAAACACGCGTTTACCAGGGAGCACAAAGTACATCTCTGAACGGTCAAAGAACACCTGTGAACAGGCAGACTAGCTAGTACAGTACAAAAAGACTAAGACAAGGTGCCGTAAATTAGATCTCCAATTTACGCTGTGACATCCAGAATGAGCAATACCGTTGAAATTTTGACGCTTTTTACGAGCGAGTACAAAGTACACCTCTGGACAAAGACTGGCTATTACAGTAGTAAAAAACTAGGGCAATCTACTGTAAATTGGATTTCAACGTACTCTGTGACATCCAGAATGCGCAATGCCTTTGATGCTTTTTACTTGTGGGCCAAGCCAGGGTCAGAATCGGCAAGGTCAGGATCGAGCAGACCTAGGCCATGGCCAGGGTCAAGTCAAGTTACCGTAAATTGGACACTAAAGTACGCTGTGACATCCAGAATGCGCAATACGGTTGAAATATTGACGCTTTTTACGAGCAAGTACAAAGTACACCTCTGGACAGCCAAGGACTAGATAGTACAGTACTATAGAACTAAGTGAAGGTACGTAAATGTACTCCAATGTACGCTGTGACATCCAGAATGAGCAATACCGTTGAAATTTTGGCCTTTTTACTTGTTAGTTTAACGTTAAACGGTTAGTTAAACTCGTCCAAATGTAATTTCTCATCTATGCGCTAGAAAGGATACGTTTGCGTAGTTTTTGACAAACCTGGTCGAATCACAAGACAACTGATGCCAGCTGTTGCTTTGTGAATGAAGAGAAATGAAGAAATGAAGAGAAGAAGTGCTCGGAAAATCATCGTTTCTCGTATGTTTTCTTTTATTTGATCAAAAAGTCCATCATTCGGAAAATCTGGAAAAATTTGAGTAAGCAAAAGGATGAGAATGATAAAAGAAAGGCAAAAAAAGCTAAATAAGAAGCTAGATCAAGCTAGAGCTAAATAAAGCTAGAGCTAGATATAAAGCTAGAGCTAGATAAAGCTAGAGTTAGATAAAGCTAGAGCTAGATAAAAAGCTAAATAAATGAACCAGAAAGTGGATGTTTGCAAGAAAAGTTGAAAAGCTGAAAGATTTGTTGAGATTTGTTCAGATTTTAGAAGAAAATTGAAAGATCTGGAAGAAGAAGAAAGGCTAGTTCAAGGGGAAAGAAATTTTCAAAGAAAGGGGGGAATGGAAAGGCTGAGAAAATTTGCGTGTCAGCTTTTCGTTAGAAGGAAGGGGCGTGACTGGGGAGGGGTTGGGGAGGGGTTGGAGAGGGGTTGGGGAGGGGTTGGGGAGGAGCTGGGGAGAGGTTTGAGTTATCCATCTCCAGCTAATTGCATATTTTCAAGGATGGATTTCTGGATTCACTAGATGGACTTGTACTTGATGCACTTGTAAAGAAAATGAAAATTTAGAGTAATAAAGGGTAATGTTAGCTAGCGCCGACAAAATAGCGCCGTTCAAAAGAGCGCCGTTCAAAAGAGTCACCAACGAGCACGCTACAACTGGAGTTCTTTCTGTCACCAGCGCTACAACTGGAGTCCTTTCTGTCACCAGCGCTACAACTGGAATCCTCCCTGTCACCAACGCTACAACTGGAATCCTCCCTGTCACCAACGAGCACGCTACAACTGGAGTTCTTTCTGTCACCAGCGCTACAACTGGAGTCCTTTCTGTCACCAACGCTACAACTGGAGTCCTTTCTGTCACCAGCGCTACAACTGGAGTCCTTTCTGTCACCAACGCTACAACTGGAGTCCTTTCTGTCACCAGCGCTACAACTGGAGTCCTTTCTGTCACCAACGCTACAACTGGAGTCCTTTCTGTCACCAGCGCTACAACTGGAATCCTCCCTGTCACCAACGCTACAACTGGAATCCTCCCTGTCACCAACGAGCACGCTACAACTGGAGTTCTTTCTGTCACCAGCGCTACAACTGGAGTCCTTTCTGTCACCAGCGCTACAACTGGAATTCTCCCTGTCACCAACGAGCACGCTACCTGCCTGCCATTGAAAGAAACACAAGAGGTATTTCTTGTTTTGTTTAACTTATTGTTTTGACTAAGTTATTGTTTTGACTAACTTATTGTTTTTGTTTAACTTCTTATTTCTAGTTTCTATTTTTAGATACGTGAGATACCTTTGGCGCCAAAAACAATCGAATTGCTGGAGTTCCGACGAAGGAAATTATTAAACGACGTGTTCTCAGAAAACCCAAAAGGGTCTTAGTTTATCTAAATTAGAATCTGAAATCTGCATTTAAATTTGGTGCTATTTTGAACGGCACTGTTTAACCACTTAACACGGAACCTGAGCGACACTGTTTAACCACTATATACGCGTAGCCAGAGATAGATTTAGATAAACGATTCGTAGTTAAAAATAGATTTATCTAGATCGGATCTGAATTTAATCAAAAATTCTATAAAGTTTCCATAGAAATTCTCAAATTCCCTTCAAAATTCCCTTCAAAATTCCCTTCAAAATTCCCTTCAAAATTCCCTTCACAATGACCCATTCTATCCATTCTATCCATTTTATGATCTTTCTATTCACAAATGACCAATTTGTGCGTAATTTTTGAGTAATAAAGTTGGAGAAATGATAAAATTCGCTAAAAAGATGATTGAAAAGGATAAAAGGAAAAAGGAAACTGAATAACTTTTTTGTCTATCTTGTCTTTTTCGTTTTGCATCGAGAATTTGGCTAATAAAGGCTTTTTTTGCTAGGATTTAGAGGATTTGTGAATGACAGAAGAAAGAGAAAAAATGAAGAACAAGATAAAGAAAAGAAGAAAAGAAGAAAAAGAAGAAAAGAAGATAAAGAAAAGAAGAAGATAAAGAAAGAGCAAGAAAACGTAATAAGAAGATAGATAGAGGATTTAGTTTTTTAGAAATAGGAAATAGAATTGATTATGGTAATTATCTATTCATCTATCTATTCATTCTCCAGTTCAACACTTGAAGAATATGAATCTGAAAGCTTTAGCTCATCCAGATCCTCGCCCACGACTCAGTATGGCTTCAAGAAGTGTTTAGACTTGAAATCGAAAGAAACAAAGTCAAAGCTAAGTACTTGTCAAGTACCATCTACAAGATCCATCTACTATTTCACCTAGTGTTGTAAAGCCACGATAAGAGATTGGTGAGCAGAGGTGAGCAGAGGTGAGCAGAGTTGTTCCAAGCCTAACCTAGTTCTAGTCAGGTCTAGAGTAAAGCCGATCTTCTGCCCTGACTCTAGCCAGCCAGACTCTAGCCTGGTCAGCTAACCTTGCTAACATCCTGGACCTTAGCCAGCTAGTAACAGCCTGGACCTAGCCAGCTAGTAACAGCCTGGCCAGCTAACCTTGCTAACAGCTTGAACCTTAGCCAGCTAGTAACATCCTTAGCCATTAAGCTTATCTAAAACCTTCTCTATCTTCGACTATAGTACAAGAAAGATTACGAGTTGTGAAAGTGATCGTTTTGAAATCTGTTGACAAGTCGAAGGCTCAGGATTTTCACTACCAAAGAAAACAAGAAGTAAAAAGTAAAGTTCTGACAGTAGAAAGGAGAATTGGATGGGTGTCAAATCCGAGGAAAGCTGGGAGAAGGCGATGAGAAGCTAGTTAGTCGGGGTCAAAGAGATCCCAGCTCTGTTCCCGCTCGTCACCAGATTCCTTTTCCCAAGGCCCTAGGGGACTCACAGGGTCTCTGGCTCTGTTCTTGTCTCCCAAAAAGACAAATAAGATAAGCGGTTGTCTCTTTTCTTTCATCTTTTCCCCCCTTTTTCCTTAACTTTTGCCCTTTTTCGCCTCTAACAAACTTTTCCTCAATCGGATGTGCCAGAGAAGGGGAAAAGTTGAGAAAATGTTGTGAGGATTGACTTTGGGAACGGGTTTCTTGTACTATGTGATGCTAGGGGTGTAGATAGTAGTCGAAAATCTAGCTCTAGGCCTGGTTTGGCTCAGCTTTGGTCTAGCTTGGCGAGCTCTAGGCTGGTTTGGCTCAGCTTTGGTCTAGCTTGGCGAGCTCTAGGCCTGGCTTGGCTCAGCTTTGGCCTAGCTTGGCGAGCTCTAGGCTGGCTTGGCTCAGCTTTAGCCTGGTTTGGCTCAGCTTTGACCTAGCTTGGCTCAGCTCTGTCCAAGCTTGGCTCAGCTCTGTCCAAGCTTGACTTAGCTCTGTCCTGGCTTGACTTACTAGGTCCCTAGGTTTGGCAGAAGCCGAATTCTAAAGTCGAACTAAAGTCGAACTGAAGACAAAGCAACGTCAAAGCAATTCAGTCAATCCTAGGCATCAAAAAAGAAGATATCAATCTTAGTTCTCAAAAAGGTAACCACAGAAAACAAGATCCAGTGCAGAATCTTGAGACAAAGCAAAGAAAATGCCCCCCAAAAGCCTCCCAGGGGTTCAAGAGCTGTCGATAGCCCTTCTTTGCCCCTTCTTTGCCCCTTCTTTCTCCCATTCTTCCTCTTCTCTCTTCAATTCCTGTCCATCAAATATTTCCCTCCTTTCCTCCACTACACACCTCCATATCAGATGTAGAAAGTAGAAAAAAAAGCTTGGTAAACAAAAGAAAATTCGCTTGAATTAGTTGAATAAGTTTGAGAGGTGGTAAAGGTTATAATTTGTTTAAAAGTGCTTAAAGTTTATGAAAGCTGGGTCTATAATCAATAGCTAGATCTACTAGCAATAGCCAGGTCTACTATCAATAGCTAGATCTACTAGCAATAGCTAGATCTATTATGAATAGCTAGGTCTATTATCAATATCTAGGTCTATTATCAATAGCTAGATCTACTAGCAATAGCTAGATCTATCATCAATAGCCAGGTCTATTATCAATATCTAGATCTATCATCAATATCTAGATCTATTGTCTATTATTTTAAAGCTAAGAAAAAAAGAAATTCATAGAAAAATCGGTTTTTGATGCTCAATATTGACATAATGATAAAGAAAAATGGGAAAAGAGGGATGGTTTAGGTTTTGATATAGTTTAAATATAGTTGGTTGTTGAAATAGGGATTGAATAGGTATTGGAATAGGTATTGGAATAGGTATTGGAATAGGTATTGAGATAGGTATTGGAATCGCTGTTGAAATAGCTGTTGAAATAGCTGTTGAAATAGGTATTGGAATAGGTATTGGAACAGGTATTGAAATGTTGAAATAGCTATTGAAATAGCTATTGAAATATTGAAATAGCTGATTATTGATATAGCTGAAGCTGAAAACAAGCAATTCTGAGAAATAAAGATCTCTAAAGTATTAAGAAACAATGAGAAACAATGAAATAAACGAGAGAATTGAGTGAGGATGTTTTTAAAGCAAAAAGTACATTAGAAATCGTGTAGAAGTTATAACTCTTCAGTTCTATCTATCCACTTCTATCTATCCAGTTCTATCTATCCAGTTCTATCTATCCACTTCTATCTATCCACTTCTATCTATCCAGTTCTATCTATCCAGTTCTATCTATCCATCTCTATCTATCCATTTCTATCTATCCATTTCTATCTATCCACTTCTATCTATCCACTTCTATCTATCCAGTTCTATCTATCCATTTCTATCTATCCACTCCTATCTATCCATTTCTAACCATTCATCTAAAGAATTATAGAATTTCGTAATGATATTGATGCTTGAACCTTCTCTCTTTGAGATGCTTTGATTGAATCAAGGCTTTGATTATTGAATCAAAGCAAATATTATGAGTGATCTCGGTCCTTTTCCATCAACAATAGTCAACAATGGGGGGAATCACGTAAGAGTTTGAGAAGAAAGATCAATGCAAATTTGATACTAATGTCCGAATGGGTAAACAATGCGATTTTGTGATGCAAATTTTCCGAGTACAATTCCAAATTGAATGAAAGGGTCTCTTCTAAATTCTAGAAAGTCTAGAAATTCTAGAAAGTCTAGAAGGTCTAGAAGGTCTAGAAGGTCTAGAAGGTCTAGAAGGTCTAGAAAGGTAATTCTAGTTTCTAGGGTTTATTCGAAATTCTCATTAGGTTGGGCTAAGCTAGGCTAGGTTAAGCTAGGCTAAACTAGGCTAAACTAGGCTAGGCTACCTAGCTGGGTTTACCTTGGAGGTATGGATCTACCTAAAAATTCTTTTATCATCATTAAAGTCGTCATTTATCATCATCATCATCATCATTATCATCATCATCATCACTAGCTTTCCTAGTTTCCCCTTCCCGATATCCAGTTAGATCAACCAGTTCCTTTAGCTGATCAACCAGTTCCTGTAACTGTAATGCAATTCACATTTCTCCGTTTTATTCTTTCCCAGCTCCTGGGAAAGAGTAAAACGAAAACGAACGAGTAAAAGAGTAAAACGCACTCTTTCCCTGTCTGAGTTCTTATCTAGATCCAGAATAGTGAGCTGTTCAAATCTAGCTCACTATTCCGGATCTAGATATCTGGATAACTGGATAACAGTAATCTAACAGTAATCTAAATAAAAGGGGATCTTAGAGTGAGCAATCTAGCGATTCTAGAGTGAGTCAAGGGATTTTTACAGAGTGAGTAATGCATCGAATTAAGATCCGCGCTGTTGGAGGAGACGAGAGCAGACGAAATCGGCCACATTCTCCCACCATTGTTGCATCATGCGAGCCGTTTGCGAGCCCAATGCGAGCCCAATGCGCGCTCCATCCGTGTCCATTCAAAATCTTGTATGCTAAATATCTCGCGTTTCCGAAGTTCTCGACAAAAACCAAGTGCAGTTTCAGAATCTCCATAGTTGAATCTCCATAGTCGAATCTCCAAAGTCGAATCTCGATAGTCGAATCTCCATAGTCGAATCTCCATAGTCGAATGTCCATAGTCGAATCTCCATAGTCGAATCTCCGTAGTCGAATCTCCATAGTCGAATCTCCATAGTCGTATGGAAGCTAAGAAGAGACGAAATGTGATCTTGGAGTTGATGCAGATCAAAAAGCTGATGAAGATCGTTCGGACGACTGGATATCCTAAAACAAAGAATCCTCTGAAGAAAGTCTGGGCCAAAGTCTCAGTACAACAATGTGCGACCATTAG